GTGCCCACTAGAATTTCAATACCACCAGGTTTGAGTTCTTTGAATTGATCCATTTTCGAAGCCCCTCCATAAACTGCTGCAACTCTGCAATAAGGTAAAGCAAAGGATTTGGGGAGCAGAGAGAGTAGTGTGTGCGTCGTTTTTGATTCCATTCTACCAAGCATGGGATTAAATTTTACATTCTTTGATTTTCTACCTCAGACCGTAACTCTTTGCAAATTTTTTGGCCTCTATATATATCTGACTAGCCAATTCTCTTGTGGGTGCTAAAATCAAGCCAATAGGTCCTTCTCCTAAATAACGTTAGGTAAGTTGAATTTAGATATACATATATGTATTTTTATAATTTACATGGCAAACATATCGTAATTATATTTTTCCCTCACCTTTTTTTAATTCCTCCTGATCCATTATGTGAATCAACATAGGCCATATGAAGGCAGCCGTCTTCCCAGAACCTTGTAAGTAAATTATATTAGAAAACGGTATCTAAAAAAAAGGTACGAATGGGTATATTTACAAACCTGTTTTTGCTATACCAATGATATCTCGACCTGACAAGGCAACGGGTACCGCCTAAAAACAATAATATAAGTATATTGAACCAAGAGCAAGAATAAAGAATGAGTTTACAATTCAATATCAAAAGGCTACTTGTTTTTGGATTCCCGTGGGCTCCGAATAACCATGTTTAATTATGACATCTAACAAAGGTTCATCAAAATTAAAATGCCCAAACGAAATACATGGCTTTGCAACATCAGCGCCTGATACGTGCATATCTACAGATCGAAAAAAAAGACAAATATATTTAGTCGTTTTTTTAAAAAAAAAAAAATCGATTTGGGCGCATAATCATTGTAACCAAAAAATCACCAAGTTCCCGACGAATCTCCTTAACGCGTTCCTCCGACAAATTGGCAATATCTGGATGCTCCTCATAGAAAAATTTTTCAATTTCGGGGTATTCGATTTGGGAGTGATCTAATAAATTGTTATTTCATTATTATTATTATTTTAAATTAATCATTTCTTGACAATTTATTATTTACCAACTGCCGAAAGCGGTTCAATATCTTTACGCTTTTGCTCCACAATTGGGTTGTCATCAGAGTCATATCTAAAATCAAATGTTTTAATTTTCTCATCAAAGTAAAAATTGTTGGGACATCCAAGACTTAAAATAATATTTACTCCAGTTGCGCATCAATGGCTCTAGCCGTAGCATAGACTTCCTCGTCAGAATTAACATTCTGTGGCATATAAAAATGGGATTTTGGTTTTTGGCATTAACACAAAAACTAGCACAAAGATGCAAAAATGTCTATGAAACTGCATGCCTCATCCTTTTCGATTGGTCGTTGACTTTTACCAACGTCTATGCCCTTCTTTTTCATGTGGTTGACATAGCTTTCGACAAAATCTTCATCTTCAATATCGTCCCTACGAAACTGATAAAATCCTCGAATCAATCCTTACGACAAGGAAAATATAATATTTAATGCCATACTTTTTCTTGCAGAGACTTGTCTTGACTCTGTTTCTGAACTTGACTATCGATATCCTGCATAAATGCATCAAGAGGATCATCGTCTACTTCTGCTTGTTCCTTGGCAGCTTCTTGCTCTTTAGGAGCTTCAAATGATTCCGTAGCTGATTTATAACCTTGAGGTACAAACCCTCGAATTCCTAAACAAAGAGACATTGGAAATCACCTAAGGTATTTGATATCGTGATAAAAAAAGTTGTCATTCGAACCAGTTGAAGTCCGCGGAAGTGGTCTATCGTCTTCCAAGTCTCCAACGAAATCATTGTCCTGTGAGTTCTTGGAACTACTTTGGTTGATTGCATCTTTTCCAAAATCATTGTCCAATGTAATTAATTTTCTTTTCTTTGGTTTAGAATCTTCATCGGAAAAATAATCTAAGGTTGGTGGCTTTTGGCGAGGCCGGTCTTCTGATTCAAGCAAAGATTTTGGTTTACTTCCGGCCCCTTGTGCTGAAAATCCGAAACCGAAAGGCTTTGTTTTTTTCCCGCTCATTATGATT